CATAAAAATAATTGCGCCATCAAAAGATGAGGACGTGTTCGTCAATAGAAAGAAAGTACATTCCATCAACACGCAGATTGTTTTCATTCATCATGATAGGGGGACTTGAACGGCGGTATGGGCTGTTATTGAACGTGTTTAAGTGCTGGAAATATGCTCATTGGATAATAGTTTGCAGGGTGCTTTTAATTGCCTCCTTGATTTAATGCAATTTACGTATTTTTATTGTTTGCTCTCTCTCTTTAACGTGCATATACAACGTCATTATCGTGGTCTGCACAAACTTGTCATCATGCGTGTATTCTGCTAACTGCACTGTCCATAACTATTTGATAGGAATACATTTCTAGCCTACGCTATTTCCTTGTTTTAGTGGGCTCGTTTGTGGGATGTTGCGGATGAGTTTCACCGAGACCGCCTGCTCTGAACAACCAATCACCGTACTGACCGCTTCTAAACTCATGCACGAGAATCGACGTAATCCATAGCAACGGCGCGTCACTCTTAGTTCACTCTTAGTGATTTATCCTTAGTATGAGTATGTCTCAGCGGCTTTGTGAATAACTTTTAAGAAAAAACTCCTACGTAAAATGTTTTAGCGCGAGTTAGGAGCACTCCTAGCGGTAAGATAAAATGCTTTGTGAATACGGCCCCAGGCCTTCACTGTCAACCCTGCTTTATTTATTCATTACTATATCCAATCACACCTTCTTTCTCTTTCCCTCAGGTGGTGCTGGTTGCCTCTGGACAGTTGTCTGGTTCATCTTCGTATCTGATGACCCTCGCACCCACCGTCGAATCAGCAAGGAGGAGAGAGATTACATCATAAAATCCATTGGATCTCAGGTGCGCGTGAAAGAATGTTTTATTTACAGCTAACTTTCTCAATATTGCCCTACAATTTTGGTAGAAAGAAAGCCGTAGAGATAAGAAATGACAAAATATGTATTTGTTTATAATATGTTAAATGAGAGCATGGTGAACAATGACATGCTCTGCTTTATGGTAGCTCCTCTGGGGATTTAAATGCAACAAATATTACTATGAGTCCACTGGTAATGTCCCAGTATTGCCACTCTGGAAGAAGAAAATGACGTGCAGCTGTTAGTCTGAAAGGGAGTTTTGGATGAATTGATTCATTTAGGTCCTCTTTAACTACCACAGCTAGAAGAAACCAACTCAAGTTGGTTAACATCAGACCCAAGCTTTTGATCCACTATAAGAGTGAGTCATGTGAAGCATTTGCAGCATATCATCACCAAGTCCTGTGGTTAAATGCCACAGAAGGTGACATAAATCCAAGCTGTCACCTTTACTTTTTGATAAATAACTTAAGAAAAACTCAAATTAAATTAATTGTATTTGAGATGTTACATTGTTTTTAAACCGTTTTAGATTTCCTTAAATAATATCAATTTCATTTACTTTAGGTTTATGACAATACCTTGTCCCACACACTTGTACCCCATTTTCAGACTTGTTCAGCTTGCAGTGAAATGTTGTTAGGTTCCTTATGAAACTTCCTCTTTCTCTTCTCCATACTTCCTCTTCCCTCAGCTGTCATTCTGTCAGAATATCTCTTCTCTTTTTTTACTTAATGAAATCTTCCATATCGACACATTTATGTAATATGCCTGTAAATGTCCCTTCTCTTTAAATCTGTTCATTCATGTTTTTATTGTTCACAGTTCAAACCCACACACTTGATTTCATTAACATAAAAAAGTGTGTGCATTTACTCTTTCACATTGGCCTTAACCTTTTAAATGTGTGTAGACTAAGACTTTCATTCATACATATAGCTATAAACAGCTTTTATATTTAGCTGATCCCACAGCAGTTGTTCGACAGCGGGAGATAAGATACTTCTACCTTAATCAATATAATGATAAAGCAACAATACTTTTACTTGAGTACAGTTTTTTTGTTTTCTCTACCCACCACTGATCATGATATCAATGATAACTAATGGTTTGTTGTGGACATTATTGACAGTCTGAAGTGTTGTCTGAGGATGTGTGATGCGTGTGCAGGGTACAGGTCATGGCTGGTCCATGCCCCTGCTGTCCATGTCCATGTCGGTCCCTCTGTGGGCCATCATCATCACCCAGATGTGTTCCAACTGGTCCTACTACACCCTGCTCACCTCCCTGCCCACCTACATGGACAACGTCATGCACTTTGACCTCAAATCGGTGAGCTTTCCATTAATTGTTCTTCCATTTCATATTAATAAACTATAAAACATTTCCTTTAAATAGCGCTTTATCGTGTCAGGGACCCTTCTTTACTGAAAATGTTGTGTGTTTTACTAAAACGAAACATAGCTTGCCCATTCCAAAAGTACAAATATGATGCTTCTCTTCGGATTTTAATCAATGCTAGATGTTTTTTAGCACTCAGCCCAGTTTATAACTGAGCTTGAGCAAAGTAATTACAATCTCCACTTTAAACTTATCAATTATTGGGCTTTAGAAATGCTTATAGCCCGATAAGTCACATGTATTATGGGGGTAGGTTTCAGGGTAGGTAAATGTACATGAGTAAAATAAAAACCGATATATATTAAAAATAAGTCATTATGTTTTTTATATTTATCATTATTCATGTTTAAAAAAAGAAAACATTTATCATATATAATAAAGTGTTTGGGTGAAACTTGTTTTTTTCCAAATAAGTGCAGATTTTGTATACCTTAGTCAGTGGTCAAGATTCAAAGGTTTATTTTCATAACATGTACACAACTACGGTGTAATTACTTAATGTATGAAGAACTGAGATCACAGGTTCCTCAATAGTGCAACTTACTCAAATATTTAAATAACAACATAAAACCAGTGCAAGTTCAGGTGTTTAATAGTCTTATGGCCTGTGGGATGAAACTGTCCCTGAGTCTGGTGGTTTTAGCCCTGATGCTGCGGCACCGCCTGCCAGACGGCAGCAGACAGAGCAGTTTGTGGCTGGGGTGATGGGGGTCTTTGATAATCTTTCTACCTGAGCCGCTGGGTGTAGAGGTCCTCCATGGATGGCAGCTCCGTCCTGGTGCTGGCTGTTTTCCCCTGTTTACAGTCTTAATGCTAAGCTAAGATAAGCGACCAAGTTGCTGGCTGAGAGGGTGGTATCAATCTTCTTATCTAACTCTCAGCAAGAAAGACAATAAATGTGTTCTTGAAGCTCTTTTTTTAATCATTTCCCAGGTGTCCTCACCTTGTTGTCTCTGTTTCTGAACACTTACATGCACATCTCTTGATACTTGACAAAGACAAACATGCTTGCTTTACTATCAAACCCTCTGCTGAACACTGATGTAATGTCTCTGTCTGTCTCCAGAATGGTTTCCTGTCCGCTCTGCCGTACCTCGGGGGCTGGCTGATGTCGATGCTGTCGGGCGTGGTGGCAGACAGCCTCATCGAGAGGGAGGTGTTCAGCGTCACCGTCGTACGCAAGCTCTTCACACTATTAGGTAAAAGACACTTTTCCTCTCAGACCGCTCATGTGTAGTTCACATATGAATGTATGGATGCACTGTGCACTCTTTTTAATTGCAACTATTTAGTTAAGAAACTAAAGCTTTAAGATTGATTAGATAAAAGTACCTACAAACTTTAAATTAAGCAGGGGACTTTAGCTCCATTCCACCTCTGGTCAAATCCAAATATTAAAAAGACAGAACCAGTAACCCCAGTGATGTTTTCTGAGCCTGTACTGGGTTTCCTTCCTCTCCTGACTCCCTCCTGGTGCAGGTCTGATACTCCCGGCAGCTTTCCTCGTGGCTGTGAGTTTCTCCGGCTGCAACCATATCCTCGCCGTCACCTTCCTCACGCTTTCCACCACCCTTGGAGGCTTCACCGCCTCCGGGGTCTACATCAACCAGATAGACATCGCTCCACGGTGGGTGTTACTGACCTACACCTTCACTTCTCACTAATTCAGCCATTTACACCTCAGTTTTAAGGGGCCCTCATATGCGTTTCTGCAGTGTGTTATATAGGTTTTCTTCTTCAAAGGCTAAAATCCAAGTTCTCTCCTTGTATACATATTATTTAAAGAGACTTTGTTTATTTGGAATCTTTTATATAACTGGTTTGTACTTGAAGAATGAATTATCAGAACGGTTGCCAAGTAAGTCTCTGTTAAATATTCCAGTTTCGTTCCAGCTTACTCATAAACGTACATACCGTATGTGTGATAAATTAACTGTAATAAATATAATCTGGCTGTATGGAAAATATAACATTTCAGGCTGATAACGACTTGCTCTTTCACTGTCTTTGCAGGTATGCAGGATTCCTTATGGGAATCAGCAACACTTTCGGGACCATTCCTGGAGTCCTGGCCCCCATTGTTACAGGATACTTCACTGAGGGTGTAAGTCTTAAAATAAATAGTCATAAAGTTACTTAAGTTACCATATATAATATTGTAAATGTATATATATTTATATATTGGGTGGGAACGAGAGACATGAAGAGAAATGTCACATTTAATCGTATTTTTAAGAAAAAGGCTATATTCAATATAGGCTTTTTATACCTAAACTTAGAACTGTGCTAATATTTGACCGGTTAAAATCTTTTACTAATTATAAATATATATAGAGTACAATGTTTTTTAAATATGTAGGCATTCAAATTTTAAAAGTTAAAGTACTCAATGCAGAAAATGCCCCCTTTAACTAATATATTATACTTTTATATATTAATTTTTTTAACACAATTCTAAAAAAAAAAAAATACAGATATTAAAGTTCATTATTTTCAGTTATAGTTTGTATATATACATTTATTTTTTAAATCCTTAAGTGATTACAGCATTTTCGCAACTAGAAGGCACTGTCCTGTTCATCTTTTCTGATTTCTTCTGTGAAATAACATTACTCTTATATTTATTTTATTTTTGGTTTTAAGGTAATCCCAATGTTATAATCAGGTTATAGTACTATTGTGATAGTTGGAATATGTTACGGACCACAGGTAATTAGTGGTATTGGAATACATTTGGTGATGCATCTCTTCTTCTGTGGTTGTCAGCACACCATGGCGGGCTGGATGAAGGTGTTCTGGGTGGCAGCGGGGATCAACATGGGGGGGGCTCTCGTCTACACCATATTTGGCAGCGGGAAGATCCAGCCGTGGGCCAATACTGAGGACGAGAGAGCAGAGATCGAGAAAGAAAGGAGCAGGTTTATCTCTACATAAAACATAAACACTCAGACCAATACAAACAACAACACAAACAAAAGGGGCGCACGCAGTACAGCTTTGAAAGACTGTTGGGTACATTTTAACCCAGAAAAACAGATATAGAGTTCTACTCTCTCAATGTATACAAAATATAGGAATGCAATACTCACTTCACAACTATGAAGAATGGAATCTTTACTGACAACATTTAATGGTTGACCAGGATAGTTTCATGAAGAACTTTTATCAATACTATTTTAGAACATGTATTCTCAGGTGAGCATTTGAACTCTTTTGTACTATAAACCCAGCAAAGACTATAATTATTGTAAAGCAGTTTTATACATAAAAATCTAACTTTACGCACATTTAAGTATGATTTGCTGGATATTCACTACCTTTACTAATACATTAGGAATCAGGGATACTTGTTCACTTGTCCTGTATACTGTTGGAAAAACTCACATGAGCCTTTATATTACATGAACTGTACAGCACCTCAGATGAGACCAAAACAAATGTGGGTGATCTTGCTGTGGGATTTTATAAGATTTCTTTAGCTGTAAATGAAATGGGACCATTTGTTTTATGAAGCAACCAGACATATGACGAAAAAGGATGAAGTGCTTTTAAACCCTGTAATTTCAGCTGCTTTGTTCACAGCTGTGTCTGTTTTCAAACGGACCAAAATAATCACTTTCCACACAGAATAATACACCAAAAGCCTTTTACTTGACGTAAATGATCTTTCTAGAGGTTTTTTATAATCCAATCCAGATTCCAGAAAGTGCCAAGAACTTTGACTTGCCAATAGAATTATTTTTCATAGAAGAATATGTGGATTTGACGTGTTTTTAATCTGTCATCCTTTCTTTGACCCGTGCCGTTTGTTAAAAGTGCACTCTGATTGTAAAAATATGATTTAAACAGATGCAATAATTTATTTAACTTCTCTGTGTTGAAAATGTGTGAGATGTACAAATATGTTTACTTAATATTTTATTGGGTAAATGATCAAGTTTGTTTACAGAGCAAAACTAAAATCTGTGAAATCTGAGTGAGGTGTCTGTCTTTTTATCTTTTAGAAAATATATATATATTATAATTTTGTGTAAATATAATACATGAATAGATACAAATAAGCTAAGGGTTAGACTCCTCCAACAAGATTACAAACACACATAATACTTATTTTTTAGATCTAGAGAGTATTGCCTCTAAGAAATACCAGAATCAGCATTATAAAACTGATATGCAATTGTAGGATGAAAAACACCCAACAAGGAAAGCTCCTTTGGATACACGAGGAGGTTTTTGTTTTTGTGTCACAATGTTTATTTGTCTGCAGAGGATGTACAGAGATGTACATCACACATATTGTGTTTGAGCTGTGGGAATGTTTTCATGACCCACCTTTGGACCATACCATAAAACATACATTTACATACTTTTTGTACTGGATTGTTAATACAATATGCAATGAATACGTTCTTCCAAGGGTTTTGGACATAGGGTTCCCGCGGGGTCTTAAAAAGTCTTACATTTAATAATCTGAATGTAAGGCCTTAAAAAGGTCTTTAACCCATAAGAACCTGGACCAATTTCTGGCTCAATAAAAATTAGTGGGAGCATAACACAGGTTGAATAGAGCACATAGAACACATGTCTAAAAAAAAAATCTAAATTCCACCACCAGATGACAGAGATCTGAAAAGTGACATCAGTGTCACTGCAGTCTTATTTGATTGTTAAATTAAATTATTAAATGTACAGTGTTTTCTGACATTTCTGACATTCCTGAGCACATTCCATTAACTCTGAAGCTTCCAAAGATGTTACCATAGGCATATTATGTATGGTTGGAAAGCTGAGAAGGAATGGAATCCATTTCAGATGACTTAGTCATGGTCAAACCATCTCAGAAAGAGCACAGAGAGAGAAAGGAGTATTTGCATTTTCCGATTGCCCCCAAAAGGGCCCGCATGCCATTATTGGCCCCAAAAGTGCCCCCACCAAACATCT